AAAAAAAAAAAAAAAAGATATCCATTAAAATGCTACCCATATTAATGATTCTAATTTTATTTGTACCTACATAAAAAATTTTAAGGCATTATCCGACTCAGAACACTATACACAGAATCAGAGAAGCCTGAGTATAAATTCATAATCACCCTCTAAAACACAGCAGGAAGAGTCCTGTCTTTTGATCAGAAGGCAGATAAGTCAGGGGAGGAATAATAATCTGGTATGTTTCTAAGGATTACCTGTATCTAGGTTTCTTTTCTGAGGTGAGGTGATTATTAAAAGTAACTTTCTACTCTTTGACTTTGAAGAGCACTTATGGTATGGGGATGTGGATAGAGACCTCAGGATTCACTTTTCTCCCTTCCTTTGAGGAAATAAAAATGCCCAAGAAACTCCTCGGGGAGTATTATTGATTTTAGCATATTCTAGACCTCCTAGAGTAGAAAGGACCTGCCTAGTTTGCTATATGGGTCATGAGTTGGATGAGTGGAAGAATGGATGGATAAAGAGTTGGATGGATGGAAAGATAGATAGATAGATAGATAGATAGATAGATAGATAGATAGATAGATAGATAGATAGAAAGAAAGAAAGAAAGAAATGCATGAATTGGGATGAGTGGTCGGATGGATAGATGAGTAGGTGAATGGATGGGTGGATGGTGATGGACGAATATGCAAGTGGGGCAAATGAGTAAACAAATGGACAGACCCAATGAGATGCCAAAGACATCATCGTTTATGTTAAATCACCATATGTTGGTTTCTTTTAGGACATTCTTCTCTTTTGCTGGGCCTTTGAACAAGAAGAAAGACCTACCTTCACTAAGCTCATGGACATGCTGGAGAAACTGCCAAAGCGAAACCGCCGCCTGTCTCACCCCGGACATTTCTGGAAGTCTGCAGAGTAAGTGTTCTCGCTTAGCATCTCTCCCCACTGCCTTTGTCCTCTGGCTTTTGTCACCTTTTTGCTTCTGCCTGCCATCTCCTTCCCATATACCCACCTCCCTCCCCCAGCCACCACCCTTCCCTACCAGGTTTCCATTCAGAGGAGTCTGCTCTGGGATTTGGGTCCTGGAGGCTGCCCTCCAGGGTCTTGGTCTTTGTGGCTACGTGGCTGCCTCGTTGTCTATATCCTCCTAATGAAGGTTGATGCCCCAGTGAGTCTGAACATCATGTACAAGGCAATACCCTGAACCCACCCAGCCCCCTGTGTCAGGTACTCAAACATGCTACTCTGGGGGGCCTGGCTTTCAGGAAATCTCCCCCCTGGGCCAGCAGCCGCTCCCCATCACGGCATCTCTCAGCTTCCAGAACTTTCTATTGCATGAAGACAAGGGTTCTCAGCTTCTCCTTGCTGTAAGTGTCTCTCCGGCTTCCTCATTAGAGGCTCTGTGCCCCTCCCCCTACATGTTCTTGGATGGAGATCAGTGGTTCTGAATGAGGCATCTCTCTGGGGGCCTCCTTCCCAGGCCCTAGCCTCAGCGATTTCTCCAGAAGGTGAGGGTGAGGCTGGCCCAGATGAGGCTGCCGAGGGGTCCCTGCTCCCCACTGCCCTGCCGTTCCAGGCACACGTGGTTGCACACACACATACATAGAAACTGAACCTGGAAACACGCCTCCGCACGTGTGCATGCACACGGGAGCACTCAGGTACACACACACGCCCGACACAGGAACATTACGTGAAAACACACCCAAACACACCCGGTACGCAAGCCCACACATGTGGGCGGACGCAGGCATACACACATACACGGTTACGTTACGTGACACACGCATGCACACAGCAGCACTTCACCACCACACGCCTCCGCACCGACGCGCAAATGGAGGTACACGGCATCTCCAAACCCCCAGCTGCGGGCACAGGCACACCAGAGCGCTTGTCAGCATCTCAGCACGGGACCCCGCGAGGATCCCCAAGGCAGCAAGCATCCTGTGGAACAGAGGCCCCGGGGGGGAGGGGGGGGCCCTCAGCTACCCCTCCCCCCACCATTTGAGCCTGCTGTACCTGGAGGACAGGATCTCTTCTTCCCCCAGGGGCTCAGCCTTTTCCCAGACAATGAAGGCAGCACAGACTTCCCATGTCGGACAGACATGGATTGGAACCCCCGCTCCCCCGCCTCATCGCTGTGTGGCCTTGGGCATGTTCCTTGGCCTCTCTGAGCTGCAGCGTCAGCCTCCAAAGAAGGAGGGCGGTAAACGGCCTTAGCGGGGGCGCTGTGGCGATGCCGTCAGGTGGTGCGCTGGGGCGTTTGGTGCGGTGCCGCCCACGTTAGCAGGTGTTCTGTATACTTGAGCCGCCTCTGTCTGCCAGGAGCAAGAACAAGCAGTATTCTGCTGGCCTTCCAGGATTGAGTACAGGTTGAACATGAAAACGGAGGGAGGGAGGCTCTAACAAGTGAGGACTCTCTCCAGCTAACGGAGCTCAGGCAAGTCGGAGAACGAATGGCAGAGCTCTGGGTGGGTCCCAGGAGTGACCGGGTGTTACAGAACCCGAGTGTCGTTTGGGCCATCACCAGTGGCCTCTGCTTTCCGGGGGTCAAGGAGGAGAGGGCAGGAGTTAGCTGAACAGAGGGGCTTAAAGCTCCCTGGTTGGAGGGAGAGCAGAGGGCCTTCTTTTCTGTATTTTTCCATGCCGTTGGGCTGAGAAAACAGAGACCCTAGAGACCATGTGGTCTGGCAGGATGGGATTCTAGGATCAGTGAAATTTTCTCTTCACTCGCTTTTTTACTCCGTCTGGGTGTATTGAATACCTACTATGTGCTAGGCTCTATTGTAGAATGCAAATACAGTGGTGAACAAAACTAATAAGCCCCTGGCCTCATAGGGTTTACGTGCTAGAGCAGGCACAAGAAGCAGGTAAACATGTTTTAAAAAGGGTCATCATTTCAGATGGAGTTGTGTTGAAGGGTGGAGAAGGGTCAGGGAATGCCCCTCAGAGGAGGTCCTGTTAAAACAAAGCCCATGGGGCGCCTGGGTGGCTCAGTCAGTTGAGGGTCCGACTTCAGCTCAAGTCATGATCTCACGGTTTGTGAGTTTGAGCCCCGTGTCGGGCTCTGTGCTGACAGCTCGGAGCCTGGAGCCTGCTTCGGATTCTGTGTCTCCCTCTCTCCCTCTCTCTCTGCCCCTCCTCCAC